AGGAAGAGAATTGCTTTTTTTTTCTTTTACACAAATGTTCTGGATCATGGGAGAGAAAAGGTGACTGAAGATATGCAAATGCTTTGCAGTCATTTATGAAAACTAGCAATATTATAGCAGGTTACATCTCTCATACTCTTGCAAAAAAACATCTTTTCAAAACATTTCTAACACAGAAGAGCTCAGACAAAAGGGCAGCGATGCTGCAAAAAAAAAAGCGCAAAGACGCATTATATAAAGAAATGTATTTAATAAGACTTCAGAGCCTATACCAAAGCATTGTAAAGGGATTTTTATAGAACACAACTTCCCTTTATCTTGTTTTCAAAACTAGATGTGTTCCTTTCTGTTTAACACAAGGGCCTGAAAGATATTCCGAGGAAGTTTTTAGCTCCCCAAAGCTGGTATTTCACAGAACAGCTGAGGTTGGGTGCAACCTGGGGGGGGGGATTATCTAACCCACCCCCCTGCTCACAGCAGGATCACCTAGAGCAGGTTGTTCCAGGTCCTGGGTCCTGTCCAGTCAGGTTTTGCATATCTCCAGGATGGAGGCACCACAGCCTCTCTGAGCAACCTGTGCCAGTGCCTGACCACCCTCACTGTAAAAAGTTTTTTTCTTATATTTCAGTGGAATTTCCCATTGCCCCGCCACTGGGCACCACTAAGCAGAGTCTAGCTCTGTCTCCTTTACTCCCCCCATCAGGCATTTATACACACGGAGAAGATCCCCCTGAGCCTTATCCAGGCTGAGCAGTCTCTTACATCGAAGGCTTAATCATCCTTGTGGGCTTTCTGGACTTGCTCCAGCGTGTTCTCATCTCTTGGACTGAGGAGCCCAGAGCCAGACCTGTCGCTCAGGCCATGGCCTCATGAGGGCCGAGCAGCGAGGAAGGACCACGTCCCAGCGGTGCAGCTCGGAGGTGGTTTGCATTCTTTGCCACCAGGGCACACTGGTGGCTCATGTTCAACTTAGTGTCCACCAGCACACCCAGGGCTTCTGCCAAGCTGCTTTCCAGCTGGGCAGCCCCCTGCTCCACCCCAGGAGCAGGACGTGGTCTTTCCCTTTACTGACCTCCATGAGATGCCCATCAGCCCATTTCTCCAGCCTGGCACAGTCCCTCTGACATCTGGTGCATCAGCAGCAGATCACAGAGGGCGTACTCTGCCCTTTCCTCTGTTGCCAAGCAGTACTGGTCCCAGTTCTCACCACCAGTGCCAGGCCACGAGCTGGACCCCACACCATTGACCACTGCACAGCTCGGGCAGACGCTTCTCCATCCACCCCATCTAAGCCCATGGGCCCCAGGTGTTTCCAAAAGTCTTCCCATCCCAGCTTCAGTGAGATGAGGTGGGGCAGGCACAGGACAGTCTGGCCACACATTTATTCAGGTCAAGTTTTTAATAAAAGGAGGGGAGGGGGCAGAGAGTACAGCGGATAGAACAGCAGACTCCATACACCATTAAGAAAAAAATGGGGAAATTAAGAGGGTCCACACGTGAGAAAGAGTAACCATGGAAGAGGAAACAAGAACCTTTCAAATAGATTTTGGGAGTTTTCCCCCCTTAAAACTTTGTACCAATTGTGTCCCCTCAAGGATCACATAAGTTCTTCCCTTTTCTCTGGATTCCTTAATTTTACCCTTCTCACTAAATTCTCCCAGATGCTCCTTCCACAAGGCACAGGATTCTCGGGAGCCGGTAGCGTACGTACAATCACAGCAGAGGCCGAGCAGTTGTTACCGAAGTCAGGTACAGGCTTATTCCTACCAGCCTACAGCGGCACACGGAGGGTGCCTGAGAAGGCCCATTCAATGCAGTAGCCGTAATTTCATTGCCGTTTGCAAACCTGGCCATCCCCTACCAAGCGCTCTAAATAGCGACTCCAGAGAAATAATTTGTTGAAACAATGAAATGGTTTTAATTCCCCCAGAGTTCCTTCATTACTTTCTCTTTCTCTTTGCACAGTCCTAAAAGGAAAGAAGCTAAGTCTTCCCATGCCCGTTTGAAGACCTTCCCACAGACGAGGCAAGAAATCCCAAAGATGAAGCTCTTAAGATCACAGCTTCCCTTTCCTGGCCCTTTTTCACCAACGGATGGCTCAGCCGAGTTTCACTCCAGTGCCAGGAAGACAGTGAGGCCTGGAAAGCTGGTGTGCTTGTCATCTGTATGACACTTTCCCTGGCTTTTTTTTTTAATTTTTTTCTTTACTTGAATTTGGTGCTAGTTAGTGCTGGCCAATACTGAAGCAGTGCAAACTACTCGCTCCCGGCTCTTCCCAGCACCTCCACAATGCGCCTCCACCTTGACTGTGAGGCAGCACAAGGAGTGCAAGGGAAACTTACTACCTTTAGTCCTTCGGCCCTTTAACAAGCACCTACGGAAAAGGGTACCACGGTACCATAAAGTTCGATATCATACGCAAAGGCCACCAACCCATGTCACAGGTGGTCGCTTCTGACAGAGCAGATGCTACAAGCTATTATTTTAACTCTGTGTGAACTAACATCCTCCTGAAAGTTACCTCTGCCCGACCCCCTCATTCGACTCAAGTCCAGTAACATTCAGGAAAAATACATTCCCTTCGAATGACATCTTCCAACTCCACAGGTACCCAAACACTTTCAGTTCCTCATAATCTACAAACGGGGATCATTTCAATTAAAATTCAGTGGGTTGCCAACAGGTGTTTCCAACTCCTTGAATTTGACTTTTTTTTTTTTAAGAACTGGGAAGAACGGGGGCAAAGATGGTTTTACACTCCACAAATAAAGACAAAGTTCACAATTTATTGACAACAGTGTTTTTATTTATACCTACAAAAGAAAACAAGATGGTATCAAAAGGACAATTTACAAACTAAGAATAGTAACATAGCTCTTAGTATCCTGTGTCTGAACACCACAGATCTATGAATCTCTCAATTCAAGTCTTCATTAATACAACAGGAATGTGTTCAGAGACCAGCAGGTGTGTTAAACAAGACGCTGATCCCACACAAAGCCACTAACCCTTCCATTGTTCAGAGAAGTCCAAACAGTAAATTCCTTCAGGAAGTGGGAGGGGAGGAGACACCCAACTCATCTGGCACTCCCACAAACTTTATACAGATTGAAAACAACGCAAACAATACTAGACGCTAATGCTCTTATCAACAAGGGCCCTCCAGCTGGTGTACGGAACAGAGCGGCGAGCACCAGGTGGGACGGGCAGCACATGCCACGGTGCGTTTACGCATTCAACAGCCTGGTTAACACTCTGAACTGAGCCGAGACCCTGGACGTCAGCTGACCTCGATGGCAATAAAGCACTGCAAGACTTGGCGTAGATGTTTAGGTGTGCCAAGTTCCCCCCAAAAATAAAAGTGAAACTATAGCAGACTATAAGGCAGCTTTGGCGGTCCAGAGACCCTTTTTAAAGCCAGTCGGTGAGATGTCCTACTCCTACACCCCTCAAACACATTTCTGCATTGAACTTGAAAATTTAAAAAACCAAAAAACCCTCCAAAAAACCCAAAAGCTCTAAATTTGCTTGTGAGGGAGGCCAAAGACAAATCAGTCAGTGCCTGGATAAACTAAATGTTTCTGGCTTTCATTTATCACAAGCAAAGGAACTTCCTGCCCCAAGTACTGGAATTAGAAGATGGGACGAGGGAACCGAGTTTCTGGAAGATCTCTCCCTTTTCCCTCTGTGTCAGCAACCTACCTGTGTAGTGCACACAAAAAATGTGCATTCATCCCCCAAAATTTTACTCTGGGAATAAATTAAATTAAAAAAGAAATCACTTCTGTATAAGCAACCTCTTTTCCTGGGCTATAAGAAGTTCCACTCTGCTACAGAAGGAGTGGGCTGCCTTGTTCATCCATATGCAAGAATGCCAACAACAAAAAAAAAAAATCCACAAAACCCTGCATTCTCATAATGCAAAGATTATGTCTCACAAACCAGGAGATGTATCCATTCTTTTGCAATGTTACCAGATCAAGAGCAGCCAACTCCTGTTATCATCTACTGTCTCTGAACCGTCTGGTATTAGAAATAACAAGTCAACAACATGCTTTACTAAAGGGGAAACCCCCCTCACACCCACCTTAGCCTGTAAAATAAACAAGTTTTATTTACGTATTTACTAAAATTTCACTCTTCTCTAACATTTTCTAAAATGCTACCTACCTGCGAGAGCTCAGCTCAAAGGGACCAATGGAGCAGGGAAATGCACTCAAAAGCCAGGAAAAGCAAGAGTCAGAGCAAGGTACAAAAGAAATAAAGCTTCAGAATCAAGATGCACTAACCAGCTCACCGCTTACCTCATGGAAAGGAGATTCCAGGCAATCTCCTCCTCCTCCTCCCCTCCTCCCCTTGCCCTCCCCCCCAGCCCACCCTATTCAAACCTCTTTAAGTGTGGAAAACTCAGTCACGTGTTATTCAGCATAGCGGCATTCAGAACATATCCCCTGGCAAAAGGTACTTTGTTTGTGAAGGACAAATGAGACACGCTGTTCATCATCTCAGTTCTCTTTAGTTTCTGGGCTCTCAAATAAGACTTCTCTCAATAAACCCACCAACCAAGAATTTGAGAGCAGAAACTAATTTGAGGATAACCAGGCTCCACCCATTTGCGATGCTGCAATTTAACAATCGTACGGAAAGAACTTACAGCAGCAGTACCTACAGTGACTATCTGGTTTCCAGGTATCAAATCCAAGACAGGTTTGGTCTCAGACACTGGGGTTTTATTAATCCTAACTTCCCTACTGCAGGCTGCTACGGGTACCAGAAGATGGGGCCACTGCTTCCAGAGCTGCAGGAAACGCCAACAATGTACCTGGGTCATTACTCTGAACACCGCCCAGCTCAGACAAATGAGCAGAGTTTTCTCTATAGAAAGTCACCTACAATAGATTACAAGCAATAATTGTGAGCTATTTAAAAAAAAAAAATAAAATTAAGATTAGGAGAAGTGAGCATTGCTCCCTTGCATTTATCATTTTAAATGAAGTGCTTTTTGGCTCCCCAAAGTTTCCCACCTCTCTTGATACTTCCTGAAATTAACATGTTACAGAACAGAAACTTCCTCCCCTCAAAAGCAAGTTTTCACACAAACCTTAGACACCAAGATGATCAAGCTGGGACCTATCTGCCTTATACCCATTTCTTTTAGAGAAAATAAAATTTCCAATTTCCTCACATGCAAGACAAAAAATAATAAATTTTCCAGTCAACTATATATATCTCTTAAAAAAAAAAAAAAGAAAAAAGAGGACAGGGTCAGTAATGTGGACTGGGGGCCATTTTTTGATGGGCTTGAGGGATTTGAATGGTGAATTCTAACTCTAACCTGCATGAGAGAGACATCACAATGGGAAAGA